TGACGTTCGATCGTCTAATATCTTCTAAATGTTAATTTCAGGGAAATCGCGCGGAACGAGGACCTTCAGCGCCAACAAGAAGCCAAAAATGATAAGCTCCTTGGGCAAAGACAAAAGTGGCACCATTAAAAGGACGACGAACTTCGGCTCCTTGTCGGACCGCCTGCAGCTCATCGACACCACCCCCACCGGGGAGGATCCGTACCAGCTGGGCGAGGCGGACATGAGGGAGCAGTCCCCCATCCCCAAACTGATGCTGCAAAAGACGAGCCTCGGAAGGAGGAAGATGTGCTCCGGCGCTGGCTTCGGCACCGGCACGGACTTCGGCACCGGGACCGGGACCGGTTTCGGCACCGGTACGGGCTTCGGCACCGGGACCGGTTTCGGCACCAGTACGGGCTTCGGCACCGGTACGGGCTTCGGCACAGGCACAGGATTCGGCACAGGCTTCGGATCCAGCACATGCACAACTACAAGCACAGTGACAAGCACAAGCACAAGCATCACCATGGGGACGGGCGCGGGTGCACACAGTGCACAGAAGAGGACGACCATCTACGATTTGTCCACTTCTGATTACACTCTCAAGTCCACTCTGAAGTCGAACAGGTTCGTTTGTTTAATCGTTTCTCTCGTTATGAAAAGAATCTTATAGACTTGGTGTCGTCATCACCGTCTCGTTCATGTGACGACATCAAGAGTCAGAGAGTCCCGCATTCTTATGATACATTACGCCTGCAACGAGCAATTTTATGAAGATGCGACTTGTCGTTTCCAGGTACAGCCTCAGCGGTCCCATTAAATACTCCAACATAACGGAGCAGCCGCCGAAGACTCTGATGACGGAGGACCCCGACACGGAGTCGGAGGGCGCGTGGCGCATGGCCGATGAGCCCGCGACCATCGCCGACTTCTCCTACGGCGAAGCGGCGACGGATCTCGCCGCCTCCGACTTGCCGCTCGTGGATTTCCAAAAAATATTCGGCGCTGACGACGCAAAACCGGTCCGCGCCGACAGCGAAGCGAAGGCCGCACCGGCTCCGAAGAGGAGGAGAGGAAGAAAGGGTAGCGACGATCGCTCGGCGGAGCCCGCGCTCGCTCCTAAGAAAAGAAGGGGAAGAAAACGCAGCGCGACCGCGACGGATTCCATTTCCACGAGGCGCAACACCGCGAGAGGAAAGAAGACCACGACCGCCTCCGCCTCGGCCTCCACCTCCGCCGCCTCCGCCTTCACCTCCGCCACTGCTGCCACCGACACCTCTAAGACGGCAAGAGGCAGGAAGTCCTGTGCAACCGCATCCTCGTCCTCGAATCCCACCGAAATAAAGACCGAGGAGAGCTCTTCGCCGGTTCGGCCGAGAAAAAGGGGAAAAAGGACGAACGTAAACAGTACCTTTTTGGACGATCCAACAACGACCCCGGGCGACTGTAGCTATACAAACTATTCATCGTCATCCATTCTAAAGACAAAAAAGGGAAGGAGCGCCGGCGAAGCGCCGGAGGGACCGGGCGAAGCGCCCAAACGGAGCAGAGGGAGACCGCGAAGCAGGAACGCATCGACCACCGATGAATTGCCCGCAGACCCCTACGACCCCACCACCTCTGATAGCTCGTTGCCATTGAGCCTTAAAAGAAACAGAGGAGGGACTACAAGTGGAGCGGCGAACGCCCGGGCCCCGGCACCGCCACCGAAGCGCAAAAGGGGAAGGCAGCGGAGCGGGAATACTTCGACGTCAGAGGAATCGCCGCCGGACGTCCGTGGCCGCGTCGAGCTCGGCTCGAGTAACTATTCCTTGCCATCCGATTCGGAAATGAAAACCGAGTGGCCGTACAGTGGTGCTCTAACTTTATCAGAAGCACCGTATTCGGGCGAAGCGAGCGGCGTGGCAAACACCCTGCCCCCAACACCTAAGAAGAGAAGGGGAAGGTCCCGGAGCAGGAACACAGCTGCAACTGAAGAATTGCCTCTAGAAACCTACAGCCCGGTTAAAGATAGCTCTATGAATTACGTCTTGCCTCTGGACGCGGATGCAAAAGATGAGTGGTCCTATAGCGATGACATTAATTATTCAATATCGTTTTATTCAAAACGAGCAGAAAATGTTCCAAAGCGTTCACCGGCATCTTCCAAGAGGAAGAGGGGTCGTCCCCGCAGCAGGACTACATCGACAACTAATGACTTGCCACCGGATATGTACAGCCCGGTTGAGAGCGGCCTCGGCAATTATTCTTTGCCTTTGTACAATGAGGCCTTAATGTCACCGGTATACTCGAGGGAGTCGGGCGGTGGTGTTGCAAAATCCTCGCCATCGGCACCCAAGAGAAGTCGCAGGTCGCGAAGTAGGAACGCATCAACAGGCGGTGAAATGCCATCAAACTACTCACTGCCCATGTACAGTGAGCCATTTGACTCCCCTGAGTCGGGCAATCGGGAGACCATTCCTAAGTCTTCGCTGGCAACATCCAAGAGGAGGGGAAGACCGCCAAGCAGGAACACGTCGACGACCGGTCATTTACCAGTGGACGTCTACACCCCCGTGAAGGGCACTAGTTCTACCGACTATTCCTTGTCCATGGACTCAGAGTTACGAAATGAATGGCCATATAGTGGCGCTCTGAAACTAACGGAAACACTGTTTTCGGCCGAATCGGGTAGTGTGGCAAGGCCCTCACCTTTAACACCTAAAAGAGGAAGGGGAAGGCCCCGGAGTAGGAATGCGTCCACTACCGATGAATTGCCTCTAGGAGCCTACAGATCTGTTACAGATAGCTCTATGAACTACGCCTTGCCTCTGGACACGGATGCAAAAGATGAGTGGTCCTATAGCGACGACATTAATTTGTCAGCAGCGTTTTATTCAAAGCAAGCAGGAAATGTGCCGAAGTCCTCGTCAACTTCTTCCAAGCGGAGCAAAGGTCGAGCCCGCAGCAGGACCACTTCAACAAACAACGATGTGGCCCCGGAGGCGGGGGGGTTCCTGCCAGCCACGCCCAGGAAGAAGAGAGGCAGGCCGCCCGCAGCCGCCGCCCTGCATGTGAGTGCTGCTCTCTGTCTGCCACTCGCACGCAGCTCACACTGATTTGTATTACTAAATATATGTTTTAAAACGTTAAATTTGTATGGAGGCGATATTAAAATCAGCGAAAACTCAGCTATCGCTGGATTGCCCTGGATTATTTCCTTATGGGTGATGTTTTAAAGATGTATTTGGAATTTTTGGCATACTGTATATCACGGCCACTGGTGCGATTTTTAGGTTTTTTTCTAAGGTCATAAAATGAGTTTTTCGCTTATTTCAGCAAAATAGTAAGTTTTGTCAAAAAGTGGCCTAAGACAAAATAGTAGATTATAAAATTCCCTATTACAAAAACCCTT